TTTTTGCTTTCAGACCAGTGCCATATTCATTGTAAATGGTTGTTTGAAGTATCTACGATATGAAAGTTTTTTCTTATATGAACATGCATTTTATGACAAAACTATTTTAACTTTAAGAGAGAAAGAATAGCCAGTAAATTTCTGGCAGGCTCTAAGAAATAAGATATTTAAAAAATGTTGGGTGCAGAAAAGGGATAAGGTAAAATTATAATGAATTCATATGATTTTAACTGCCATGGAATATTTTAACGTATACAATACAACATTGACAGACAAATATTCAATTAATACTTTTGTGTGTAAAGGAGTATGTCATAATGCTACTCCTTCATTTGCAATTTTTTAAATGATATTTTAAAATACCAACTAACATTGTTTCTAATACAGCAATAGGATTTGATTCAATAATATATAATATAATATAATAATAATAATAATAATATAATAATAATAATAATAATAAAAAATATGTTAATATAATCTTAAAAAAAGTGATATAAAAATTATAATCTACATTAAAAATAATAATTACTAAAGAATTTGAGTAATACTGTGTGGCAAGTTTTTTGTCCAAGGATTCTTATACTATTGATTGAGGTCCAAGATGTCAATATCACACAAATATTTTTTATAAAATAAGAAAAGAATATCCCTTACTTCTACTGGAGCCAAAGGGTAGGGTTTTAACCGAATAACAGTTGAGAGTCACTATTCATATTCGTATCCTAAATTGTTGACCTATTATATTTTATTCTGAGAAAGCATCAAGCATCTGATTACTATTATAGCAACTGGTATAAAACATTATTATTTCGCTTAGTCTCAGCTGTCTTATAATAGAATAGCATATAGAAGGATCGATGAGATGTACAGAGACTTTTGATTGGAGGTCGAGGTTATTAGGAGAGGGATGGCGAGGGGTAAACTTCCGTCCTGACAACATTATGCAAGTACTCAGCTCAATCATGATCTTTACAGTGCAATATTATGGTGCGCTACTAGACTTAAATTTAATTTTCATATTTTTCATCTCTTGTTATAATAAGTCTCATTACATAGGAAGAGTGGCGTGGATGGATAATATTGGAGCAAAACTCATATATGTTTGATAATGTTAGATTATTTGTTTTATATCCTTTTATTACTACAAACTGTGATGAAGGTTAGTTCTTATTATTAGGACCCTCACAGTTGGTATATTAAGGCTCAGGTTATAATATTTATAAAATATATTAACAATTATGAATAATTAATCAAAATATTTATGGAAGTCAGAACTGAAATGCCTCCCCCCCCCCCCCCCATGATTTCTGGATATGCTGAGAGTGGTCAATATTATAAAAAGTCTTTAAACAATATTTGATGAGTTTTTAAACTTAATATCTAATACTTTGGTGAGGCACTCATATAAAATTATTAGTTATAAGGTTCTGACACAGACTTAAGTTCAAAAAAAAGTGATAGATGCCATGACAAAAACCAGTGTTTTCATTATTAATACCAACTGTGGTTTGATGAATAATATATGCACATGTGGCTTCAGATTGTAACTTGCAAATAGGTCCAATTGGATCAAGTTGGCAAATAAACATTCTGAATGAATTCTAAGAATGCTTTGGGGAAAGTTTCCTGAATAAATTTCTTTATTTTAATTATTTTATTTAAATATTTGAAACTGTGGAAATCATATGTGAAGCACCTAGAAATAAATTACAGTAATTTTGTCCCAGGCAGTGACATATTAATAATTTGCAGAGTGATATCAAATTCTCTTGAGGAGTTCTGGTATTTCCCCTGTAAATACACATTCCTGAAGAGAAAATGAATGTAGTATTTATCAACAGAAAAAAAGAAATTAAAAACTTATTCACTTAATGACAATTCTGTGATGGAGGATCTTAATTTTATATGAAAAAGAATGCTTACGCATTATCTTCTTGAAGAATTTCATTTCTCATTATTCACTCTCTAACCCCACTTGGTCTGAAAATAATTGCTCTGAGATTCACAATAAAAATCAACAGAATCATTGATAAAGAACTAGGTACTTTAAAATTTCAATAACACACTTTGCAATACAAAAGTGGTAGGTATTACCTGTGTAAGTAATCTGTACGTGCCACCATAAAGATCATCAAGAGCAACTATGTGATCTCCAGGTTTTAAAAGTTTAAGTACTGCTGTTGTTGCTCCAAGCCCCGAAGAGAAGCATAATCCATACTTTGCATTATCCAATGTAGCAAGACATTTTTCCAGCATAGATCGTGAAGGATTTCCACTTCTTCCATACACGAAACCCTTAAATTTTTGTTGTTTTTTTCCTTTCAGTGTGCTTGTTTAATCATAAAATTTAAAAATAATGAACTCTGATTTTGAGAAATCTGAAAAATATACCTTGTGTTGACCAGGACTTTCCTGCTTAAAAGTTGTTGAAAGTGAAATTGAAGGCACTACAGCCCAAGTTGATTCTTGTTCTGCTTTATAACCAGAATGGATAGCTCTGGTAGCAAATCCAGGTTCTTGTTTCAGGTATCCTTCCCTTGACATGATTCTATTTCAAGAAAAAATAAGTAACATGATAAAATTATATTTCAAGAATTGAATGCACTTTCTATCTTAACTTCAACAGAATCTGGAAGAAGAGAAACACCTTTAATATATAACAACACAAATAATAGCTTACACCTGATGCATGAGAAATGAAGTCCATTATCACTATGAATTCGGATCCACGACTAATTATAGTTTTCTGAAAGAATGTAGAAACAAATAAACCTAGAATGATCATAACAGAAATACTGTACTGTAAAACTGTACGATCTCCGAGTCAAGTAAGTACAAATGGACGTGAATGGCACTCAGAATTGAAGATTTTTTTTTAAAAGGAAATGTATTGGGTCCGTAGCCTATATCATACTATCGCAATTTTTTATTAGTCGACGATAGATTTTGATCTTATGTGTTCCAGAGCATATTTTGCTTAAAATGTTAACATTACGAAGTAACACACCGATCTCTAATTAAATGGATGAATATCTTATAGTATTATGTTACCTTAATAACTTATAAAATTGTTCGTTATAATAAGCAACAAAAATATTCACGCATTCATAGCAATGCACTGACTCGCACAAAAATGCAATCGTGCGAACTTATTACTTACTGTCGCTTACTGTAGCGAAGACGCTGTGTGGATCTTTAAATAGAAAACCTCCCACCTAAAATGTGTTCATAGTTTGTGAAGGTCGTCTACCATTTGCTCAAGTAAGGCTTTGTTTTTTTAAAGAATGCACTGCACTCTCATATTCCTCTGATTTTTGATAAGATAGTAGTTGCGATGGAGATAAATGTGGTTTGTGATCTTCGAATTTAGTCGTGGGGGCCGCGTAAAATATCCTTGTGAATTTTACGAACATTAGCTCAACCTGCTTCTAACCTTCCCGGCATATTCCTAATATGTTTCAGTCTCTCACCTGCTCCTGAGTTCACACCGGTGGATCGGAATAAATCGGCTTCCGATCATAGGATTTTTCTTTCATTTCATTGTGTGCAGCCAACATCCACAATTATTTGGTGTATTTGGTTTTGTTTACTCTAGTGTTGATAAAAGAAAAAGTATTGAAATTGCCCACAAATACAAATTCAAGATTTCTGTAGTTTTGGAGATGGGGTTCCCTCTCCCTCATTTCACAAAAATTATTTTTAAGGCCTTTGTCGCTGTTAACTTTGGACATGTCTGACAGCTCAAAGTAGGTAGATACACTTCACGAGCGTTTTGTCAAGCTTCAACTTGAGGCATCCCAATTTCGGACATTGATATAATATATAATGTAATGTTTAATGAATTGATTAAAACACTTATTTCTGAGTATACGTCTCAAACACAGTCCCTTTCCCCAAACACACATATATAAGTGAATTTCACAGGAAACAATGCTCTGGAGCTCAAGACTTCCACTCCGCGCTTCCCAGTCCGTCTTGAATTGCCTAGTCAAATTGGCGCCCACCGGCCTTTACAATTTATTCTTTTCGATAGGCACCTTGGTGCAGAGTATTTGCTTTGGTGTCAATGCATTGTGCAATACAGGAGTATTGTGTCAGTGCTTGCATTACAGGAGAAGAGGGTGCAATTGCACTTCCCAACGTAGGTGAAATAGGGGTAAATTGTACGTGAAATCAGGTCCGACTGACGCCTCGTGGGGAAAGAAATGCAACCCTTCGTCCTTGAGTGTCTTTATGGATGCATATTGTCCGTCGTTGCAGGCGCGGAGTACTGATTTCCAGAAGAGAGCCAAGTTGCCAATTTGTAAATTCCAATGGCCCGTTGGTTCAATTCGTTTTAAATTTCCCGTCACGTGGATTGTTAAGGGAAGTGCTTTAAAGAGTGTTTTGGGGACGGTAATATCCGGGTGACAGCAACAGAAAAGTGAAGTTGAAATGATCTACGGACGGTTAATTGTTTAAGTTAGTTTTAATGCCAATTAAGGTCAAAATAAGAGTTGGTCCAGAGGTAACCCTTGCCAAAAAAAGGAGGTAAACATGAAAATAGTATTCCCCTACTCATTTACACTTCATAAGAAAATTTAATTGTACACTCTTTCAGATGTTTGCGAATATTTCGAAAATGGTGAGGAAACACACTAAAATTCATTATTGTTTCTTTCATCTTATAAAATTTCCTACTAAATTATTTTTTTAATTAATTCCATGGGCTTTGAGTAATTGCAGATCACAGTTATTACTGAAAGTTTGCCAGGAATATGCAACAATGCATTTGTGAACAGCTTTCTGCAACAATAATCATGGCAATGCATTTTTTTGATACATTCACTCCTCCACTGCTGATAAGGGTTATCACTGAAGATAAAACAACCGACTCGTTTGAGCTAAATTAGCAATAAGACTAATACAATAAATTAGAACTCTTTAAAGCACTACAAATAGTCACAGCATCCTAGACTAGTTTTGAACTGTGGATGATATGATTTCCTATATCTAGTTTCTTTATCTCCCAATAATAATAATAATATAAATAATAATAAATAATAATAATAATAATAATAAATAATAATAATATAAATAATAATAAATAATAATAATAATAATAATAAAGGTATAAGTATATTGTAAAGGAATGTAAAATAATTACAGAAAAAGAAAACAGTTCACTTAAAAGAACTGTAGTCTGCAGTAGCTCATAGGAATAATGTAAACAGAAAGGCATTGTCTTCATGCTTTTGCAATCATAATGATTACCTACCTGCAAAGCAGCTAGTACTCCAATTAATTATCAACTTCTTGAAATAACATAAGATGGGATCAAGTGACAAGGTAAATTTAATTCCAAAATTTGAATGTTAATGAAAATAAAAATAACCAAAAGAAACACTTAAGTTGTAAATAAAAGAGCCACAGAAATAGAAGGTACATAAGGAAGGTGATGAATGGTACAGGAGTAAAAATAAATTAAACAAATTAATGAAGGCATACTTTAGTGACAAACATTTCTGGAAAAGTATTCCAAAATATCATACAAAATTTTCAATTTTCAACTTTATTCAAATTTGAATTATTATTATTATTATTATTATTTTTTGTTCAAATTCTTCACAGCCTGGAATGCTTGATCAATATCTGCAGTAAGGTCCTCAACTGATTCCAAACCTACTGACATGCGAATCAAATTATCAGTAATTCCATATTTTGCCCGTTCTTCTGGAGGTATGGATGCATGCGTCATGAGAGAACTAAAAAAAGAACAACATATTATACACTGATAAAATTTCACAACATAATGCATATTAATATTATAAAGTAACACTCACGGTAGTTCTGCTAAACTTTCATAGCCTCCCAAGCTCTCAGCAAGGGTTATTAATTTAAGTGAAGAAAGGAAGACTTTGGATTCTTCCAATCCACCTTTCAAGTAGAAAGAAACCATTCCACTATACCCATAGCACTGTTTCTTTAGCAATGAATGCTGTGGATGAGATGGTAACCCTTCAACAATGCAATAAATATTATACCATGTGAATTTAGTTTAACTTAAATTTAGCCACATATGAAAACTTCAGTTAATTTTTATCAATATTAATTAGTTAGGAACATACTTCAATTTTAAATAATTATTTAACACTTCAGGCAGCTAGGCTCTTAGTGGATGAAGTTTGAGCATAAAGAAAAATTTAACATTTCTTTGAAGTTTATAGTTTTACCTGGATGAATGACTTTTTCTACAAGTGGATGAGTTTCCAAATACTGCCCAATAGCTAAACTATTTTTCATATGCTGTTCCATTCGCACAGCTAATGTTTTCAAGCTGCGATACACCAAGAAGCAGTCAAAAGGAGACGGTACCACTCCAATTGCTGTAAAAATGGAAAAAAGAAAAAACACTATTCTTAAAAAGTAGTACTCAAATTGATAAATCCAGCTCTTAAAACAGTCTGAAAAACCAAACATGTCTTACATAATCTACAGGACAACTCTACGATAAATGTGTTATTGTTTAATTTCATTGCATACCATATGACATATGTCCCGCTACTCCTGAATCAATAAAAATAATATGAACTTTACCATTTTGAAGAAATTTAAGTTTCTCATAAATATCTTCATTGTTGGTAGAGATGGATCCCATTATGCAATCAGTATGGCCATTCATATATTTTGTTAAAGAGTACATAGTTACATCTGCTCCCAGGTTGAGAGGTCGCTACAACACAAAAAAGCATTTGCAAAGAACATTTCTTTAGAAGTAATACAATCTCAGAATTGTATCAGATTATTCTGAACCATAACGAGCAATTATAATTTTATTTCCATTATACCACATACAATCTAGTTCTTGTTCTATACACTGACACCTACCTGAAAGTATGCACTGAGAAATGTATTGTCTACAACAACAATTACACCTTTGTGTTTATGAACTAGATCACAAACTTTTGCTATATCTATTACTTTCAGTAATGGATTTGTTGGAGTTTCAAGCCATACAATTTTTGTGTCTTTTGTAATAGCATTTTCTACATTTTGAGGATCACGACCATCAACAAACGTGGTTTTTATATTCAAGCGCTCTGCAACCTGGAAAGAAAATGAGAATTTCTAAGTCAGTTCATTCTCATCTCAGAAATTTAACTTTTCTGACACGTTTGCTTTAAAATACCAAATCTGATACCAAAGCATTTCTTTGGAAGATTATAATTGTAAACCATGGGCAAGTGACAGTTTAATCACTTTAACCAGTTGTTTTATGTAAAAGGTACACACATTAATTTTTATTTACCATCAAAATTCAGAATTTCATTGATGAAGTTTCCAAATTTTACAATTACAAGTGAGAGGGTAAATTTATGATTTCTGTTTTAGTAACAGTGTTTATTTTGTCAACCATTCAATTATAACGACAAAATGCACAGAGCAAATGATGACCTCTAGAAGAGTGATTTCTAAATTAATGGTTAATAAATTATGTGATGTAACATTTTTTCAAACATCCAGTTACCATTTGAATAAAAGTTGTTTTAACTTTTTATCCACAGATTCAAAGGTTTGGGGTAGAAAGCTTTTGTAACTGTAACAAAAGCCAACGGTCCAATTTAGAGAGGTATGCAATTCACACCTATAAGAAGTAGCAGTCATATGGAAACATCTTAATCAAAGATCTTAAATAGTCTAAGTCTAAGTCTAACATTTAGCTCAAAAATGGGTCACAGTATTCAAATAATTACATACCTGTTTCAATCAAAAAATATGAAAAACTCCCACATACAAATAAGTTTTACTATTTTGTCTCCACATACATTGGTAGAAATTGTGTTTTTAATATGATGTGGTTTGCTACACCAAATTTACAAGAAAGAAATACCTTTTATAAAATATTTAAATCATAACTACGATTACATAAAAGTATTACCTTTGTAAGTAATCTGTAAGTACCACCATAAAGGTCATCAACAGCTACTATGTGATCTCCAGAATTTAGAAGATTAACTATAGCAGTTGTTGCTCCAAGTCCTGAGGAGAAGCACAATCCATACTTGGCATTATCCAATGAAGCAAGACATTTCTCCAGTGTTAATCTGGATGGATTCCCACTTCTCCCATATTCAAAACCCTAGAAATAAACGAGATGAATAGTTTTCAGTTTTTTTTATTTAAATTAATTGTTTTTTAGATTAACGTGCCTGGCATTAATTAAAGTAATAACCCTTACCTTGTGTTGGGCAGGACTTTCCTGTTTGAAAGTTGTAGATAGAGAAATTGGAGGTACAACAGCCCAAGAGGATTCTTGTTCTGCTTTATAACCAGAGTGGATTGCTCTGGTTGCAAATCCAGGCTCTTGTTTCAAATATCCTTCTACAGACATTATTCTTCTTGAAACAGAAAGGCACAGCAGTAATAAACTATCCAATAACAATTTTTATTGCACTCTTTGCATCCAGACACTGGAGCCTTCATTTTTAAAAAAAAAAAATATTGAATAGGAATTAAGAAAACTATTTACTAACATGATACTATGAGAATTTTAGATAAGAAAGGTTTTATTTTGACGTGTCATGGTTCATAATAACTTCAGCTAGACTTTTTAGACGAGAACAAAATAAAAGAAAAAATAAATCAAATATAAAAAAACAGGAAACTTGTGCAAGCACGTTGTTTCTAGGAGTCTTAAGGAATCAGCCAGAAATAGCAAGAGAACGTTTTTTATAGCAATATGAGAAATCACTCAAGTCTTCGTCGGCTTGGTTGCCCGAACATATTTGTCTTGCGCAATTTGTCGCTTTAAACCACGTGTTTCTCGCGGCGGCATAAGCAGGTGGTCTTCAAATAAACAAAAATCGATCCGTCAGATCGTATTGATTCCGAACAGTTTTTTATTAATTTTAATCAAATTATCCACTCGACCCGATAAAATTCCAATAAAATCAAATGTTCATCAATATTAACAATTCACGTAGCAAATAAAAGCAATACCTGCTAATAACCTTAAGTTGATAGAGCTCTGTTGCGTGCTGAAAACGAACTGAGCTGCTCAGTCTTGGTTGTACTTAACATAGAAACCCTATCACAGAAATCTGTTGTAATCTGCGAGTCAATGGCGAAGGTCGTTTACTATTTGCACAATTATACCATCTATTTTGGTTTTGAATAATTGGCTCCATTATTTCATGGTTTGTGAACATTTCACACCTGAACTTATTTTTTAAAGCTTAAATCATTGTTCTTCGATTATAAATACTTCGAAATTTGACACTTCTCTGATACATGTGATATTTTTTAATCTTTTGTTGTCAGTATTCGTGATAGAGATGATGAAACGAGAATATAATTTTCATTTGTGCTGAGTGTTGTTCAGGGGTGGTAACTTCATACCTATGTATATTCACACATATGACTATATTTAAAAGTAAGTCGCGAGTAAGGCATTAATGACATTAATTAACTTCCCATTTTTTCTCAAAAAAAAAAAAAAATGTGAGAATTACCAAGTGTCCTATGCGTTAGCAGGTGCGGAAATATGAGTGACGTGTACCGATGGCGCTGGCGCAGAGACGCGAACGGGGTTTGGTGGGGTTGGGTTTCGGCAAGGGTTCGGTACGAGAGAACTGCCGCAGGCTGCTTTCGGTTACCCAGTGATCCCCCAGCTTGGTCGGGGTGCAAGGGTGAAAGAGGGTGCGGATTGTGAACCTGCATTGCAGCTGCGCGAAGTATTGATATTTTGATATAAAATGGCTTCAATGGTAAGCACTTTCTCTGAATTTAATAAATGTTGTCTAACTGTTTGTGAAACACGATTTTTCTGTCCCTGTTTTTTCTCGGAAAGGGAATACACAAGTACTGTCAAATGGACCCTTCAATCCGATATCGAGTCAATACTTTGAAAATTGATTTGACATGATTAAAACGTGAAATATAGAAATAATTTGATTGTCTTTGTAGGTTAAGCGCTTGTTACATAGATATCAATATTAATTATTCATTTCCAGAGACGGACCAAGGTGATGAAAGTGTATAGATGTCCTACAGACGAACTGTCACTTACCAACTGCGCTATTGTGAACAGAAAAGATTTTCCAGATGATGTTAAGTGAGTTATTTATATTATGGACATTGTTAATGATCAGAGATGACACTTCCCTGCACCAATTTGACAACTAATGTGTTGTTCTAATTGAAACTACTTTCTATATAGGCATATTCAGGTGAGCACAGGATCTTCACAGCATTATGTATTCACAGTTCGATTCCACCCAGAGGTGCCAGAGAATTCTGTTGGGTTTAGTTTACCTCAGCGAAAATGGGCCACTTTATCACTTAACCAGGATATAGAGGTTAAGCCTTATGATTTTGATCCCATGTCAAGTACAGAATGTTTGTGCTCAATGACTTTAGAAGCTGATTTTCTGCAGAAGAAAACGTAAGTAAACATATTGTTGAAGATAACATTTCTTGTGTATGTACAGGAAACTTTCAAGTTTTTAAAAAAAAATGTGACTTTTTTCATAATGTTTAGGACAACATTGGATCCCTATGATACTGATCAAATGGCAAAGGAATTCTTAATGCAGTTTTCTGGTCAAGCCTTCACTGTTGGCCAACAGCTTGTATTCAGTTTTCAAGAAAAAAAACTATTGGGCCTTGTTGTAAAGTCATTGGAAGGTATTTGTTTTCATTACTCTGTGGGACTTTTTCATTTGGTGTTTTTCCTATGTGAAAAACACTTAATACATACATTTTTGTTGTTGTTTTTTTAATACATACCCGACTTTTTTTTTTTTTTTCTAGCGGCTGACTTAAGTGCCATAAAAGCTGGTCAGGAAGCTAAACCTAAAAAGACAAAAATGGGTCGCTGCTTAGGGGATACTATCGTACAATTTGAAAAAGCTGAAAGCTCTTCCCTGAACTTGGTTGGTAAAGCAAAAGGGTATGTTTAATATGATATGTTGATACTTTGTATGATTCAAGATAAATAAGTACTGTATTTTTTTCATGTAGTTTTTCATATTGATGAAAATCACATGGATTTTGAAGCAAAAATTCTAGAGGGGAAAAGAGATTTTTCTCATTGGTCTGTGTTTACTCAGAATCTATCAGAGAGACAAATTAATTTCATGTTAATTTTTGTTTATTGCATTCCACATATGTAGTGTTGAGAAAATACTTAATGCTGCAGCAAAAAACAACCCTTTTATTTTCTACAGAATGTGTCATTTTGTGGGTACCTGATGCTGAAAATCCTTGTTCCTAAATGCAGGAAATAACTTCCTCTATCACATTACGTAGTCAGAATCCACATTTTGTCAGTCCATGATACTCAAAATTTAGTTTCTGTCAAATGCCTGTGTGTCTGTCTATTTGTGAACAATGCTTGCAGCAAAACTGCAGCCAGGATTTTCACCAAAATTGTTATTCCCTAACTGATGTGGCTGATGTCACAGACTCTTGATTTTGAAATGAAGGTTTTGAAGTACTGTACATGAAGCCTCAAGGATATTTTGAAATTTTTCCAATGTTTTCTTTAAATTTTTTTTCTGGTTACAAAGTATACTTGTAATAATGGCAGAACCAATTTTCATTAAAGTCTCTGGATTTGTGAAAATACACAAAGTTACAATTTTGTGGTGAATTCCTACAATTACAATATTGAAAATGGAGATTTATTTTTTTAATGAAATCTGTTCTTCAAAATTATATTTTTAAAGGAGAGAATGCACAATTTTTCCTAATAAGAGATTTTTAAGTAATTTTTTGTGAAATAAAGGCATTTTAATAACAAGGTTTTCTCAAAAACAACTCCAAACTTTTTCTTAAATTCTTTCTCAGAGAGTGAGAAAATGGCACAGGTCTAATTTTTGTTGAACACTAGATTTTTGAAAATTGCAAATGTTATAAATCGTGTGAAAGAGTACATGGTGTTGGAAGCATCACTAGTTGGTGTATACTTAGCTCACTGATGCAGATTTTATCTGGCATAAAATTGCTTTTGAAAATAGTGTAAAAAATGCCAAACACTATCTTCAATGGAATTTGTTTACTTTTGTTCAGTTCTTTTGACCTTGGGTTTTAAAATAGATTTGATGCATCTTTAGTGTTAAGTATGTGTGTTCTAATTGAAAGATGCCGTTTTAATTTTTTTAAGAATATAGAATTTCAGGTGTATGATTATTATTGAAAGTTTTTTTTGTTTTGTTTAATTGTTCTGTACAATTCCCATTATTTATTTCAAATGAAATGTAGAATTAAAGTTAACATTTCTGTTGTTATGAAGATAAAATTTATTTGCAGGAAACAACCCCGCCAGTCCATTATCAATCCTGACTGGGACTTCCAGAAAATGGGTATTGGAGGACTAGACAAAGAATTCAATGCGATTTTTAGAAGAGCATTTGCTTCTCGAGTTTTTCCTCCTGAGGTTGTGGAACAGTTGGGTATGTACAAAATGTTTATTAAACATGTAAGCTTTATGCTAAAGACTTCTGAAAAAATTAAATTGGGTGCTTAAACAGAGGTGCACACAGGATTTTGCTTAGTGGGGTAGGGGTTACATTTATACTGTTCAGCTGAATTTGTTCTCTTAAAAAGTGTTTGTATATTTATAATATAAATAACATATATTGAAAGACTCATTAGTATAGAAAATTAGTTAAAGCTATATTTTTGAATATATACTGAGTTCACAGTTGAGGGTTAGCAATATGGAAATGTACAAATGGCAGTGGTATCACATATAAAAGCACCATTCATTGCAAGAGCTTTCATTTGTACTCAAGTTATACATATTAAAAGCTTTCTGATGCAATTATGGTCACATTGTGGGAATTAAAACTTTGAACATGGAATGGTAGTTGAAGCTACACACGTAGGACATTCCATTTCAGAAGTCATGAGGGAATTCAATTTTCCAATATTCAGTGTCAAGAGGGTGCTGAGAACACCTAATTTCTGGCATAACCTCACACAAGGAGAACACAGTGGCTGATGGCCTTCACTTAATAACTGAGAGGAGCAGCGATTGCATAGAGTTGCCATTGCTTACAGTCAAGCAACACTGCATGTAATAACCACAGAAATCAATTTGGGTCGTACAACAAACATGTGCATTAGGACAGTGCAATGTATTTGGTTTAAAACGGCTATGGCACCAGATCGGCTTAAGTGCCTTTGCTAATGTTGCCTGCTTTCTCTCCTGAGCTTACGATGATCGATTGGACCCTAGACAACTGGAACAACATGGCTTGGTAAGATGAGTCCCAATTTCAGTTGGTAAGAGGTAATGTTGGGGTTCAAGTGTGGTACAGACCCCGTGAAGCCATGGACCCAAGTTGTCAACAAGGCACTGGGTAAGCTGGTGGTGGTTCCATAATGGAGTGAGCTGTTTTTATATGACTAGGAATAGACTAGGTCCTAGCTCCAACTGAACCGATCGTTGATTGAAAATGGTTTTGTTCAACTACTTTTGACCATTTGCAGCCATTCATTGACTTTGACAACAATAGAATTTTTATGGATGACAATGTGCCAAGTAATGGGGCTACAGTTGTTTGCAATTGGTTTGAAGAACATTCTAGACAATTCAAGCGAATGATTTGGCCACCCAGATCACCCAACCTGAATCCCTTTGAACATTTACAAGACCTAATCGAGAGGTTAGTTTATGCCCAAAATCTTGCACCAACAACACTTTCGCAATTATGGATGGCTACAGAGACAGCATGGCTCAATATTACTGCAAGGGACTTCCAACAACTTGAGTCCATGCCACGCCGAGTTACTGCACTTCACAGGGCAAAAGGAAGTCTGATATGATATTTGGGCATCCCATTACTTTTGCCACCTCAGTGTATATGATTTGGCTTCAGGAAGGCCAGAGAGGGTGTGTGTTCTGGAGCCCCACAAGCGTAGTGAATATATTATAATGGGACCTACAGTTTTTCCCCTCTTTAAAAATATTTGCATCATAGAATAGAACACATTTTATATTTTGGCAGCCATAGAATTATTGTAGTGCTAGAAACCTAATGTTCATTTGTAAATCATATTATATATTGAGAAAAAAATACTACTTTTAAGTAAAATGTTCGATAAGTATTCCAAAGTTTGTAAGTAACTTTCCTTCTGAATATCATTACAGGCTGCAAGCACGTGAAGGGTATTTTGCTGTATGGTCCTCCAGGAACTGGAAAAACATTAATGGCACGACAGATTGGAAAAATGTTGAACGCTCGTGAGCCAAAGATTGTCAATGGACCTCAGATTCTGGATAAATATGTTGGAGAGTCTGAAGCTAATGTTCGTCGTCTGTTTGCTGATGCTGAAGAGGAAGAAAAGAGAGTGAGTTGTGTTTTGTTTGTTAGTTACTGTAGACTATGCATTTATTATTGAAAGTGAAGATCTCTGTTGAATCCTCCTCCTTTACGTAAAAATAAATAATTTTGCAGCTTGGACCAAACAGCGGTCTTCATATTATTATCTTTGATGAGATTGATGCTATATGTAAAGCTCGTGGATCTGTTGCTGGAAATACTGGAGTTCATGATACAGTTGTGAATCAGTTGTTGGCAAAGATAGATGGAGTGGAGCAATTGAATAACATTCTCGTCATTGGAATGACAAATCGACGTGACATGATTGATGAAGCTTTAATGAGACCTGGTCGACTTGAGGTAAGATTCAAATTTGTATTGAATAATTTTAACCTAATGATCTTGGTTAAATACCTAATTTAACCCTTTGCAGTCTAATGCATGTAGTAAACTAAATATCACGTAGGTCACGAGGCATCTGTAAGGTGACATTAACAATAGCCTCCAACTTGGAGGTTTCAGGAAGGAGGCTCACAATTGAGGTCAGAGGGCACTCAGTTGATTTTATGCATTCTCTGATCTACTTGGGAGGCATCTCGGAGATGGCTGCTGCTTTTCGTTAAATATTTCTTGATACAATCAATATCAACAATGAGTCAGCAACCTGAACCATAAATATACTTGGATTTAAACATAACTGCACTTGACCTAAATAAGCTATTACGGTGTTATCCAATCAGAAGATTGATTGTCACCATAGTGATTTGTAAGTTCCCAAATGGACGATACAGTAATAACTGATGACTTGCCAAATGCAGCTCTAAATAAATCAAAATATACGACGAAATTAAAGGAGTGGTCTGTACTGACAGAAATGAGGGGAAATAACTTTAATTATTTGTGTCAAACAAGTTCTGGCATTTGGGCGTTTTTGATTTGTTTCCCCCCCCCTCAATGCAAGAGTGTTTAGAATATGAAAATGGTTCTGGCATTTATTAATGTGTTAAAAAACATTGTTCTTTGCATAGTTTTGACTTGTCTATTTTTTAAATTATACAAACAATAAATTTAACTACGAAATAGATAAATTTGGATCAATGATTTTTCATAATCAAGAAAAAGATTTTCTCACTTTTAGAACCAATTATTTGAGTATTTGGTTCGTTGTGAAGTCAAAGCAAAAAGACTTGTCGCCAAGTTCAGTACTGTTTACAATTTAGGGCCACTCCAAATCAACTTATTTTCCTATGTCCTCGCAGAAATGCCATCCGACGTGTAGGACATGCTACTCGAAGGCACATGAGCAAAAAGAGTATTTTGTGAAGTCATCTCAGACATGCCGTACAAATGTGATTGCTAAAATGGCAGTCATGATACCTTTAGAATATGTAGTTGTATCAAGATGGATCTTTTTATTTGAATGTAAATGGAGCTTGTTGGTTTTCTGTTTTTAAGTTTTCATGTCCAATAAGTCTGATTGAATGAAATGAATTACGTAATATTTAAAACACAAAAATCACTCTTTCTCGTATCAGTAGATGGTAATGAGGTTTATTTGTAACATCACCTTGCTTACATTTCACCTGTGAAAATTACTGTTTTTTCTTGTTTTTTTATATCTATTTTGTTAAATTAAGGTTCAAATGGAAATTGGATTACCTAATGAAAAAGGCCGCTTTCAAATTTTGAATATTCACACTGCTAGAATGAAAGATTTCAAGAAAATTCATTCAGATGTAGATATAAAGGTAATTATTTTTGTTTTGATTTTCTGCTCATAGATTAATTACTTATAACTTATTAATATCATATTTTTTCTTTTCATTGATCATTGGAAAAAATATTTCATAGGAATTGGCAGTTCTTACAAAAAATTTCAGTGGTGCAGAGCTTGAAGGCTTAGTTAGAGCTGCTCAGTCTACTGCTATGAATCGATTGATAAAGGCAGCAAGTAAGGTGGAAGTTGATCCAGAAGCTATGGAAAAATTGTTGGTGAATCGTGGAGACTTTCTTCATGCTTTGGAACATGACATAAAACCTGTGAGTTGAAAATTCACAAATTATTACGCACTATCCACATTAAACAAAATTTTTCCTACATTTGAGAAAAAATACTACACTTTTTAATAATGATATTTTATATTTTGTTTATACACTTCGATAATTTTTGCTCAGCAATGATGTATCAGTATTATTATAGTACAATTTATTTAGTCGTGCACGTGTAAATCAGTTGCGGTTTAGTCCAATCGGAAACTTAAATGTCGCTATAGTGACGTTAAAGCTCCCGTTTGGATGAAACCACAAACAGCTGATTTATGTCAGGGGCGCAGGTTAAATAAATCTTGTAAACGGTTTCATAATCTTCATTTTAATTATATGCAGGTACTTTTTTGCTCAATAATGTTTAATGTAAATTAGTTATAACTTTATAATTTTAATATATGCATTGTTACTCATTTCTTCAAAACTAATTAACAAAAGTAAATGAGTTAATATTAATATGCTTAATATAATAATAATTAATTAATTATGCATCTACACATTGTGTTCTTACAGGCTTTTGGGTCAAGTGCAGAGGCATTAGAGCATTATTTGGCTCGTGGCATTATAAATTGGGGAATGCCTGTAAGCGGTGTACTAGAAGATGGTTTACTGCTCATCCAACAAGCTCGCTGTACTGAAACCTCTGGGTTAGTCTCAGTGTTGCTTGAGGGCCCTCCTAACTCTGGGAAAACGGCCCTTGCTGCCCAGCTGGCAAAGAATTCTGATTTCCCATTTGTGAAAGTTTGCTCTCCCGAAGAAATGGTTGGCTTCACCGAATCTGCCAAGTGCCTGTATATCAGAAAAGTAAGATAGTTTTTCAAAGTATTTAAAAATTAAGATTTGCAAATAAATTATATAGAACATTAAAATCATTAAATGTAAAAAGAATTGATCTTTCTAATCATTACTAGTTGAAGCTTGTCTCTTGAGTCTGGTTCTTGTTCTAGTTTCACAATAATTATTGGGCAACTAAATATTGCATTCTAAGCAAATTATATGAGAGATGGGTATTGTTTATTAAATTTATTGAATTGATATAAATGTGTTATGTTGTTGGTTACTGGGATAATGCATTGAATGAGTCAGTTATTTACTGATATTTGTATTTGAAGTGTCAATTTATAATACGATTGACTTTGCATCACTTTAAATAAAATTGATTGAAATGTAGGTTAATTTAACTTGTCCAAAGAATACAATTATAATTTTTGTTGTACTACCCTGGTAGGTATAAGTAATATTATTCACATGTTATAATATATGTATACTTGTTAATGTGTGTGTAAATTGGAAAGCTACAGTCATGTCCATATTGTAATTTTAATACTGAAGTGTTAGTGTTCATTTGTTTTATATAATTTCTAATTCTGTTAATACATTTTGTATTTACCTAATCAATGATTTAATTGGATATGTTAAAAGTACATAACTTATCATTGAGGATTGTTAATTGATTCAACTATATCTACACACTATTAATGACTACTGATGCCCTGGCTGATAAAACTTGCTTTTTTCTAATGCCAGTAATAGTGGTTTGGCTTCTGAATTTATTGTTAATTTTGAGGATGGGTTTTAATCAATTTTACATCAGTTGGAATAAACATATTGTACATTTGTTTCTATTGGTCACTTTTACGTCTTATGATCTACAAGGTATTTGCGAGCAGTTTGGACTCGCTATGATATGTGTAGTTCATACTATATCACATATTATATCTGATAGTGGGTTTTATTGGGGCTTCTTTAGAATACTGATGATGATAATGATGATAATAATGATGATAATGATAATAATAATAATAACAATAACAATAATAGCAATAACAATATTTATATCTTCGCCCACATTGAGCAAGCCAATCAATTAAGAATTTATCCCTGCCTTTTACTTGTATAAAAATTATTATTATTACTTTTTCTTTATTTAATTATCCTGCTATTCTATATGATGAATGAATTTCCTTAGGTTTTCATCACTACAATAGTAACAATTGAATAATATGCCCTTTTCCAGAATTATTGTAATTGCAAAAAAAGGGTTCATATTCTCCCTTTTTTTGCACATTTTGGCCAAATTATTTCCCCAATTTCAAGATTATTTATCTTAAAAATTAAAAACACAACTTGATCTTCCTACATTATTTTACAAAATGTTCCCTCATTGTTACTTTCCTTTGTGAAGCAGGTTTCGCAAGCTTGGCCATTGTTCAACATTTCATTCCATTTCCAGATCCAGAAAAGTTTAATTCATCATGTGGCTCTGGTTTTCCAGATACATAATTTTCATTTCCATCTGAAAACATGCATCTATTTTCACTTTGATATATTTAAACTATTTCCGCAATAAAAACAACTTTCCTCCACAAGTGTTCCATCTGCATGTTCTTCCACCACGTCTGACTGAGCTCACCCCCCTTTAGAGTTGTGCAAATCCATCTCCTGTTTTTCATCTACATGATATTTTCCAAACACCTTTCTTTCTGCCTCTGTACGTGCATCTTGATCAGTCTCTCTTGATCAGTTACCCTCGTATTTACATTGTGACTCTTTATTCTTTGATCTACTTAGCTATTAATAATTTTCTCATGTTTGACACAGTTTACACGGAAAGTGGTCAATGTCCTTGATTTTACGTCACCTATTCCACTCCCTATATTTTTTCCCCATTACTTATTATGCTCCATTCCATTTTTATATTATATGTACACAATGAATTTTTTTCAGTTTTAATACCCCATTGTTGCCATTGCTGTATTTAATATTTCTGCAAATATTAATTTAATCTCACAATCCTTGTGGTAAATCATCACAGTATCTTACTTCATTATGGTTTTGAGATGAATATGTTCTGTGATTCACACTTCAGAGTGAATGTTATACAACTGGCAGCACCTCTGAATGACCATGGGCATTCTAGGAGAGTTTTTTGAAGAAAAGATGGGGCTTTGTGACAGTGTGGTTATTGGGTATCAGGTAGCAAGATTGTCAATAAAACGTTGACCCAAGTGATGGCTGACTTGGGGAAAGCTGCATCTCTTGTTCTAAAGCCTTTGCATATGGATGTTTGCATTGTGCTCACATGCTGTTTACCAATGCTAGCAAAGTCTCCATAATATGTGATCCTAAAGGATAAATCAAATATCTCCTAAACATAGGATAAATTGATTTTTTTATATTTTGTGAAATATTTTGTTGTGTTTAATTTGCGAGTGTGGTGTGTGGGTGTCACATACTAAATAGAAATCTCTTGAATATTTTTTATTAGAAGTTGACATTAATTTTCATGTGTAAGGAGCATTAAGAGCACTATTGGATGATTGTACCATGTGTGGGACTTCATGTTGTAAATATACTGTGACGCTTTGTGGCCATGCTTCGTGAAAAAAATTCTTTGAAAAGAAAAGATATCTGTGGAAGGAAAGATACAGATGGAGTGAACAATGGATTCCTTTTCATGAGCTTGGTTCCTATAGTTTCACTTGTCACTTGGAAGATGAAGGCTTCTTGTTTATTGTAGAAAGATTTAAGATTTCTTGTTTATTGTAGAGATGAAGATTTCTTTTTTATTGAAGATGATTTCTCTTCAGCGATCTTTCTTAAATAAAACATAAAATATAAACATCTATACAATGGCTCTCAAGTTTAAACTTGCAACTTCTTTTATAATCTAACATTACAATGATCCAAGAACGAACATTGCTCTTAGAACAAAGCTTGTTTTGCTCATAGCTAATGTTGATCCTATTTTCGTTTGTTTGTTTTGCAGGTGTTTGATGATGCATATCGTTCACAGCTAAGCTGTATCCTTGTTGACAACATTGAAAGACTGTTGGATTATGGACCAATTGGTCCACGTTATTCCAATCTCACTTTACAGGCTCTTCTAGTTCTTTTGAAAAAGGAACCACCAAAAGGCAGGAAATTGCTTATTTTGTGTACCAGCAGTAGAAGGTAATTCATAACTTTTACGGTGATTCAGAAAACTTGAAAGTATCATGGTGTTACTACATTATCTTTTAACATTTATGTTACAGACAAGTGCTGGAGGATATGGAGATGCTTTCAGCTTTTACAGCTATTCTGCATGTACATAATCTCTCTAAAGCTGAGCATTTGCTTGCTGTCCTTGAGGAATCCGATGTTTTCTCCAAGAAGGATGTAGCTAACATAAGCCGAAAAATCCAGGGACAAAGGTGAACACAAATTTTTATGCACTTCATTAATAATAAGAAGAAGAAAAAGAAGAATGACTTGTGATGTGAAGGCAGACACTTTCTTCTTTCAAGTAAAATCACAAGTTTTGTAATTTGATGATGATTGTGCTCATGTTCAACAATATGTACTACCAGAACACTATTATTTACTAAACCCATTTATTTTATAAGTAAATCCTGGATTTCTATGCTGTAAAAAATACATTATGCACAAGAAATCTTTAAAAAGGGCAGAATAAAATTTACAAGGAAATAAATGTTATTACTAAAATGTGAAGCAAAAATTTTGAATGTGCTAGGATGTTATTGCCTCTTTGAAACATGAACAGACGAATCATCAGTAGAAAAATTAATCAAATGCTTTTTTTTCTGTCCTAATATTTGGGATTGGGAAGTTGATGTTAGAAAAAAGTACATACAGGTTCATGATCTGTTAAGATATTTTTATACTTTTAGGCATGCAGTATTGCTGCCTGACACTAGATAGATCTTTCTTTGGTTGGCCTTACTGACGATCAGAGAGTATATGGTGCACTGATGCCCACACATAAGCTTTCGATAACTGGAAAAAGATTCCTGACAAACTAGAAAACCATGGTTTATCACAGATACATGTTTCATTAGAGTCCAAGACTATTTAGTGTGACAATCTGTGCTCCCTCACCCAAAATTTAATGTTATCTTTCATTTTGCACATCATACAAGCGAAATGCACTATGTCTCCATCCATTGACAACAGATTTCATATTAAAAGGATATTTACTTTTTTATGGTGATTGGTGAACTCTTTCACGATAACTATAAAACATAATTTACCAATTTCAAGAAGTTTGCAATTAATAATTATTGCCATTTTCCCCTTATTTTTCTAAAAAATCCACTAAACATATGGTAACTGTAAAACATGGCAAAATATTCAAAAATATGCAAAGTAAAATTCATCAGGAATGCTTTAAATGAGCAACTCGTAGAGATCCATGATAGTTTTGCAAGTAACAATTAGCAAAAAAAAATATGCATTTGCATACAAATCTGGGCTCTAGTTATTAATCTACACAGAAAATAATTGACCTGATTTAGTCTGGAACTAGAGATGTTTTTTTTTGTTCAGTATACTGTTTCATTATCATCTAAAATGTATTGCAAGTCCTTGACAATTTCATATTTTATTCTGTTTTGATGAAAGAAAGAAAACGCTGTTTCGAAGAAACTATGCCAAAACATCAGAAATATATTGGTAAGGATAGTTTTTAATGTGGCTAAATTTGTAGATGGCAAAAAAGACAGCAATTTTTTCCATGATTTAACCTGCTTTTCAGAATTAAGTAAACTTAAATTCTTGCACGATTGCATCAGTGCTATTGTTCCCCACAGGTCAATTATTTTTATTATTTCTGTCATGTATTAATTTTAATTGCTTTATATATATAATATAAAAATATTGTTTGTTTATTTACTTCCATAATTAATATATTGATTTGATACCTCATTTCATATTTACTTTACAATGAGAACAAATTCTATTGCTACTTTACGCAGATGTGTTTATCTTCCTTTTCCTTCTAAATTTTTGGTAATTGGTCTTCAATTTAAGGAAAATGTATTTCTTTTTTTTTTAAGGGTATTTATTGGTATCAAGAAACTACTGGCTTTATTGGACATGGCTCGCCAAACAGAAGAGCAGTATCGAGTCACAAAATTCTTAACGAAACTCGAAGAGGAAGGAGCTCTTGGTGAAACAGGAATATCTTTGCAGTAAAATCTTTGAATTATAAGAATATGTATTTAAAATTGAATTGATCCATAAGATAATTTATGTAAAGAATTCATCTATTCCTGTTAGATTAATGGAGACAAAATAGGGCAATTTCATGAAGTTTTAGGATGCTTTTCAATTTTGACTGAATTATTTCTGCAGTTGAAATACTAAAACGAATTGGAGCTTAAAGATTTTTGGAAATCATGAAAATAGTTGAATAATGAAGTTCATGACCATGTTTGCACAATGGCATGTACTAAACATTTAATCTGTATTTAATATTATCATAGAATTTTGTATGTTTGAAACATCTGTCTTGTGTTTATGAAACAGTAAACAAGCCTGTGTGTTAAGAGAAAGTTTTGTGATGTCCAAATGATCTTCTTAAAAGATTATGTCTTGAAGTTCTAGGCATATTAATATACAAATAAGTTCTGCAAATAACCTTTCCAGAAACCATGTGGTTCAAGTTTATTTTATATATGATTAATTGCTCTCCAATGTATGTTTTGTATACTTGTTGAACATATCACTTTGTGATTATAGTTTACTTTTATCTTGGGTTTACAGAAAAACCATTCTTATAATTTTGATAATTTAATATATCTGAAGAAAGCACATTTCTTTTTTAAGAAACACAATATTTAAATTAATTGTTATGTAGTGGCATTCTTTTGTGTAAATGATCTGTGACTATTTGAGCAAGATTTCTAAATATTATTTTATCGTGTACAATTATTGGAATAAGTGATATTTTTCCGTGTGTGTCCATTTCGTGGAGTTGAAATGTTAATGAAAATAAATTGTTTTTCATAGATTTGCAAAACAGAGATGAAGGAACTTCATACATACATCAAAAGACCAGAAAACATTCCTGCTTTGAGATTATTATTATATATGTATTTGCAGTATGTATTTGCATATTGCATATTTTTATTATGTGTGGTGAAATAAAATTGTTTGAAAAGATTGGTTCAGAGTTGAGAAATGCCCATATCATTTTGTGTGAAGCTTATTAGAAACTATAATCACTAGTTTGAAGGATAGAAATAACATGTCATTGGCATTTATTCTGTGAACTTCGTGGTTCTTGTACTGATGAAACAATTTTAATGAGAAGTGTGCATTAAAAACTAGACTTCATAGTGTTGGTTCAGAAATGTGAACACTAAATAAGAAAATTCTAAAAAGAACTGAAAGATGCAATTTTGCTTTTAACTTAGGATTAGTGGATGCACAATAAAGTGTGTCATAAAACTATTTTTTGTGGTTAAAAAGAAATGTAACTAATTTTGTACTTAAGTTTCTTTAATGAAATCTAGAAATGTGCCTAATTGTATTTCTCTAGCACTTAACTTAATAATTTCAAGAACATTTCTGAAAGTGAATATTTGATTATTGGAGTTAAGTTATGACTATGTTTTGATCAACAAACAAGGAAGGAAAATTGAATGCCCAAATATTAAAGAATCAACCCTGTTAAAGATGATGTATTATATTTCTTCCCCTGAAAAAAAGAGCTTTATTTTAATTAAAGTTTAAAACTTCTCCACTCATGTTTTTGTCTTTCAAACACCCTGAAAGCTTCCATACATTGACTCCAACAGGGTTTCTTTTCTTTTGTTTTTTAATTGTGCCTCATAGAAGTGCTAGCTACTCCTCCATTTATTACATCATGAGTGGAAGTTTTAACTATAATTTTAAAGAAGTAATTGTTGATAATGGAAAAATATGTAACAAAATAACACCATTGTTTCTGTTGTACTGATATTGGTATATATTAGTATACAGTAGAGCTAGTTTCAGAGAGAGTTATTTGTTAATGTAGTTGTTGAGAACTTTTTGACAAAAAGAACTTCTTACCTAGCTGCTATTCTTCAACCTTTAGGACAGAAGGTTGATTCATGTAGTGTGACACTATATTCAAACTGAAATGTTCAGTAGCTGTTGATGTTTGCACATTGTTCTAATAGGACAATTAATAGGTCTTAATATTGGGCACAATTTGTTTGTGGAAAATTATTAAATACAGATGTTTATTACAGCCAGTATAGAATGGTGAATAGTTTTAAGTATTTGTATTATTGATGTGTGTGCTAGTTTTCAAGAAGGCAAATTCTAAAATTGCAATATTAAAATTCTAACTTGTATGTAAATGATACTTAATGGTACCTTAATGTTTATGAAGTTTAGTTGTTCATGGATGTGCTCTTAGATTGTATTGTGAACTATTTAACTCAAGTAATCTTTGTCTTTCTCTACAATGCCTATATTTGATGTTTGTTATTGGTGTAAATATCTCTCTGAAAATGGCTCTTGGTTTGTATTTAGCTGTCTGCACGATATAAATGCTGAAGTATGTATCTACATCAAATTATAGTTTAATAATGTTCGGTTATTTGAATTTAATGTTTATTGAATCTAGTCCACGTGTGAGAAAACAGCTGGAACTTTGGAATGTAAATGTGACGGATAGAGGTATTGATAAAGTTTTATAGTTCATTGTTTTGTTATACTATTAAAACTTCCTTTGTACATATGTGTATATTTGCTAAGTTATTGATATGTTTATAGATATATTTGCAACGAACATTAATTCACCATTTGTGTTAACCATTCCAATAAAAATCTAATGATATATTTTATGTCATGTTAAAAAATTTACAACAGTTGAAATCACAATGAATAGCAATAAATATGTTATTACTCTTAATTCATGTTATTTATTTTGTATTGCTTGAAAGTTAAATTAGTTTCTAAATCATGCCTATTTTTTTTTTATTATTTCAGTGTAGATTGTAAACTATTGATGTGTTGGCCTTTTGACACTGTGTGAAAGAAAATGTAAAATTGGCTAGAAGGTTGACAAAGGAATTTGAAAATCCATGTGTCATTTTATTTGAGACACAGTTCCACACAAACATTTTTAATTTGCTATGAATTTGGAATGAATGTGCCTTGAAACCATTGAGGTATTTGTAAGTTCTTTATACTTTCAGCGGGTGACTGACAAAAAACTGTGGAACTGTGGGGAAAGATTCAAATTTATAGAGGTTTCAAGGATGATCACTTTTTTACTTCGTTGCATGCGGCTTATGATTTGTAGAGAAAGTAGTGTAATGCTGCAAGGGAAACAGCGGATTTCTAACTTAAAAATTCTTATTGGTGGGCCTTGGTAAGAAAAAAATCAATAAATCTTGCTTTTATATGTTGTAAATGACTTTCTGTATAATGTGTATTCAGAATCCGTTTTGTGGGACCTATACATCGAAAAATCAATAGCTAGCAAAACGCCCACCTGTTTGCGTTCACCTAAAATCGTTCAGACAATTTTTTTCAAAATAAAACTCTCCGATGGACTGAACAAGCTCAAAGCCCTGCGTGTTAGAAATTGATACATTGATTTTGGAGTTTCTTAACAAAGTGTCAACATTTTCGAAAGTTTTTCAATAATATATTTTTTCTATAAATTGTTTTATTAAACTTCGTCCTTGGATAGCTTAAAGAACTTTAAAAAATGTCTTGGGAAACATTTTCGTTGAAATCCTGTTGAAATTTCGTTGTAATTTTTCGAAAATTGCAAAAGTTAATTTTTTTTCCTACAATAATGGAGATAACTAATTTACTTTCAGGAAATATGCCCGTCAAAAACATCTTCGAATAAGATCATATTAATTTTTTTTTTTTTAAATACGGGCAGTTTTTCATGAAATGCAATTTTCAACAATTATTATCTTGACAGCTGCTTCAAATTTTGTTCTTCAATTTTTTTCATGTGCAGCAAGGAACTGGAAAGAAATACATAAATATCCCCCATAATCCCCCAAAATAAAAAAAATAACCAATATTTACTGTGCACGTTTACAATTTCCAAGTTGCAACTCGAACTAGTTACAATGCCGTTTACAATACATTCTGAAGACATACAAGACTCGATAGCACGATAGCTGTCACCAGAAGATGTACCAGTCCGTAGACAATAACACAAAATGTCCAACAACATAATACCATGGCGGGGACTGTTGGAGTAAACAGAAATACGTATACACAGCCACTATAAAGCTCCCACAGACCGGCGCGGAAGATTCGCAATGGGTGCGGACCGGAAAGTTCCGCGCTAGACGCGGCAGCGGAATTCCCTGGTCCGCTCACACCGGTGCGTCAATGTCACCGGAGTCAGCGATTGGTGTCAGTTTTCATCCGTTAAAGAAGAGAGGCGCGCTTCAATTCATGCAGGGAATAGAAATGCCAAGTTACTCGTATGTTTCCCGCGCTCACAGATATTCAATAATCTCACTTGTGACGAATCAACCGAAATGCGGCTGATCGCACAACCTTTGAGAACGGTCAGAGACCCCGTCTGTGACACCACATTGACAAATATCAAGACACTTCTCTGCCGGAGAGATTGTTAAACATAGAGAGACTCCCCTTAGTTGGCATTGACAGATAGAACAGTGAAACGCCTTGGAGGACGTGACGGACAAGCGAGGGAATCACAGAAAGACTTGTAAGACGCAAGACATTCTGACGAGATCCCCAATTTCCGGTATTCACCTTGCACGTGACTAAATCCACCAATCACACCGAAATGAGGACCAATCAGACTAGCAATACATACCACGAGACGAGAGGGGGAGATGAGGTGAACTGCGGGGAGAAGGATAAATTTTTAGAGGCACGGAGTGGCCGGACCGGTGGGAGAAGATTTTAGTGACTCGGGGAAGTTAGACGTAGAGAGAAGCTTTTAGAGGCTTTGATTGGCCAGACATGTGCACAAGGCAAGAATAACTCTAGGTAGTAGATACTCTCGAAAGTTCGCGAAAAAGCGTGATATTGCGTGAGGAGTCGCGAAGTGAACGAACAGACTTACCAAAAGTCTGGGGATTAAGCGCAGAACCTCATGAGGAATGAGACGGTGACGGAGGTGGCAGCAAAGTGCGAACCGCGAGACCGCGCCAGTGTCGACAAGCGTCCGACCGACGGCCAGGGGACTGCACAGGTTTAAAGGGCATTGACCTCAACGAAACTTCCAGACACACGTCTGACGAAAACTTGTAGTCTATGTAAACTATCGGCGTCCGCGCGCTTTGCTGACAACGCACTGCTGTTGTGAACAAATGTTCTCATATCACGCCTCATGATTTTATTTCAAATCCAAGTATCCCACCCTACGTTTCCCCAGCCAAGCAACCCCGAAAATAAACCCGCCCCGATTTGAGCTCGTCTCGAATCCACATGTGAGATTCCCATTGTAGACGTAGATGTCCGGTCAAGGGTCGCTTCAGGGCCACAGATTCAGAGAGCGGCGACCAGCAGGTCAGAGGTTTCAGTCGACCGGACACCGGCAACCTGAAGTCGGCGATCGCAATTGGTGCCCGAACAGGGACCACGAGTCGACGGTCGCAGTATTTTCATGGACAAACATTTTATCTCAAAAATGCTTTTGAGCTCATCATGATATTTAGAATAATCCACAGGTTACTATCATTTATGTGGTAATAATAAACATAAGCTACTAGTTCATATGAATATGCACTAAAAATAATCATTCCAGCATTCCAGGAGTATCATTACTGTTCATGAATGTTGGAACGTCTTGATCATTAATGTTTTCGCTGCCGTGTACCGTGGTTATTATTTCGATCAAAACATAATTTTAGCTACGTACATTTAGTAGATTGATTGCATAGAACACACAAGTGCTACTATTAACGTTCTGTAGTGTGAGGCATGCTATTCTTTCCTCACAGACTATTACGCGCATAAACGATTGCCCCGAGCCGTGAATGCCGCTGCGCCCGCTTTAAATTTCGCGCCCGGATATGACTTAAATTCCCGAAGACAATTTGTTTTTGGGGAAAACTGAACCTGTCATTCTTCGTGAAAGTCATGCTTTAAAATTCGTTTTGTGCATGCACACTATCTTTATGTGATATGTTCTTTTTTTCCACTGAAATAGTTGAGTTTTCACGGTAAACAAATTTTGCCCGGCAGTGGATGGGGAAGACTACGCATTTTTCGATTCTCTATTGTTCCCAGAAATAAGGAAAGTAAAATTATAGCACTCTCAAAACAAAGAAACAAAGGTGAATTTATTCTCTAAAGAGAGAAAAGTTAAAAGATTATTATTTGACAGTGGCCATTTATTAAATGTACTACCATCTTCGTAGCAGTTCAAATATCTAAACATGGTCCTGTTATTTTTCACATTTTTCGCCTAAAAACGCTTGCAGATTTTCTAAATTTTTGCAATAATATAAACAAACTGAAATAAAGATTTAAAATTTGACAGTTTATACGAATATACGAAGGGAGACTTCTACTCGAAAACAGCCCACGGGTCCGAAATTCGTTGGCACTTTTCATATCCGATAGAAGTGCGCGTGGATTCAAATCGTTAATTCATTTTATAAAGTAACACCTTGGCATAATTGCTAAGATTATAATAATTCCTTCGAACAATTTTCGAAATGAAAAGGTAGTGATTTGAAATATATCTGATAGAATAGTGCTTCTTTAAATTAAAATTGTGAACGAGATGCGCGGTCAGAACCAAAAAAACAGAAAGGGATTAAATATTGTAAATAACAAACGTGACAAGAAACACAAACTTCGGTAACCGCATAATACAATATAAAAACCTACTTGTAAGTTACGAATACGAAAATCTTCTAGGGCTCGGCAATCTGGTGGATCCAGTGAGTCAAGGGCACCACGTCCTATCCCAAAAGGCCTAGAGTTTTAGTTTATTAATTTCTTTTATTTACCAAAACTGATTTAAATGTTTATTTATTATGCAATTGTTTAAAAATAGTATTGTATAATATCATATTGACACCACAAAAATTATATATAATATAACAAATGTATTTATTATTGAACAAAAATCGATCCCGAACCCCAAATGATCGGTTCGATCCGCCCCTGCATTACTAAAATCCGTAATGTGGTTGCGGGCCATATTTTCATTATTCGGATGATCCACTTACCCGTATTCTTGATCACGACTGCTCGGCTACTCTGAAACGAGGGTGGAATTGAACCATGCGTGATATTAAGCCGTACCATGAATAATGTAGTGAAACACATTGGGACGATTTTAAATTTACGAATAACTAGAACAAATCCTTAAATCTAAAATTAACCTCTTTTTTAAACATTAAAAGGTGTTATCCCCGCGTGCGCTAGGCAAACACTCCCCGATTTTAGTGTGGCTAGATGCACAATGTTCTCGCCCGACATGGATGAAAGATACTTTGACTTTTGATTAATAACTTTTCGTGTGCCACCACATGCCACAATAAGTGGCACCGCGGGCCACTAATTGGGCAACCCATCTCTAAAACATACTTTGGCCCTCACCAGCCTCAAGCTTGCCATTCAACACCTTTACCCGAAACGTTTATTTTCATGTTTTCCCGCCAAATGTTGTGACTTCATTCTGAACATCTTATTGGAAACGAGAAGGAATCGTGATTCGCTGGTGTAGAAGTTCTGTGAGCAGATTTGCGAGTAGCCACCTCCCCCTCCTTCTGTATTTTATGTACTCTTTGGCTTCTACATCGTCGGCCATTTCATTTCCGTTCGGAAGAGTTAGAAGTGCATTTGGGTGAAAATGGGTAAGTTCTTTAAATGAAATAATGTGAACAATAATAAGCTTATCGATTGTGAAATTAATTTATGGAAATTAACGTTAGCTCACTTGTAGTTTACTTAAACATTAGTTATGATTGTTAGAAATGTAAGACAAGGAAAACGTGTTGACCACGTTGCTTTCAAATAGATCTGTTAAACATACCTGCCTTCTTTTGTAGGTAAGCCCCGTGGTATTCGTACTGCTCGTAAGCATGTAAACCATCGGCGAGAACAAAGGTGGGCAGATAATGATTACAAGAAAGCCCATCTGGGTACCCGGTGGAAGGCCAATCCTTTTGGTGGCGCATCTCACGCGAAAGGAATTGTACTTGAAAAAGTGTAAGTTGTGTGACTGTAAAATCTTGAACTTATGATTGTTTTCGCAATGTATTAATTTTCTTCGTTTATAACAGAGGCGTTGAGGCTAAACAGCCCAATTCTGCCATTAGAAAGTGCGTAAGGGTTCAGTTAATTAAGAACGGAAAGAAAATTACCGCATTCGTACCACGTGACGGCTGCTTAAACTACATTGAAGAGAACGATGAAGTTTTGGTTGCTGGATTCGGCCGAAAAGGACACGCTGTTGGTGATATTCCTGGTGAGTATGGATGCTTAGAGAAGTATTTCTCATTGATTTTATTGTATTGACTATGTATTGTAGACTGATGAACAATGGAGCAATAATATTGTAGGATAGTTATGCAGGTGCCCCTGCAATGGGAACTTACATGAACAGGGAACTTATTACTATATTCCAATTTTTGTAACTGTTCCTGGCTGTTGCGTTTCATTCAATCGGGAGCTTGAACGTCTCTATGGTTTTATATTTGAAAAGGTATATGTAAGGTTTAATATTGAATAGGTATATTAAAGGTAATATTCTATATTTATTATGCAAAGTATTATTTATATTATAAATTTCGGAAATGTTGCCATTTTTCTTCAGATGAGCAAAGGTCAGTTGGTTTTGTCTTCGTGATTTTTGTTTCTAGAAAAGGTAAAATATTGAAGTGTCTAAAATCACTCGCACAGATTGATCAGTCGGTGTTTTTTGAATAGGCTTCGGCTATAAAACTGTGCTAAAGTGAATGAAAGTTAGTAATAATAAGCAATAATATTGCTTTTACAAGCTTTCATACATTTTTTAGATTTATGATGGAGCAGTTATTTTTAATTTTGTGTGTAATTTGCAGGATTAGTTCTAGTTATGTTGTAGCAGATTTTACGTTGGTATCAGTTTCATCTATTTTTATAAAAATGCCAATTGCTTCGCAAGTAGTGATTCCCCTCCGGTTACCTCCTCCCCCTGCTACATTAGCCCATTTGCAAGGAAAGCATTGAGCGTCTCTTAGTTAGATGGCACTCAGCACAGCAAGCCAACTTTCAGGCACCCGTCAGCCTTGGGAATGCCGTATTGTCTTATTGACTGACCCAAACCCAGCAGGCTTGCGAATTCTTTGTAGAAAATTCTAATATTTTTTTCTAAATGTTTTTAAGCAACGTAAAAGTATTTTGGGTTACTTATGGACTTTTCTCTGTTGACATGAAAACTCAATGTGACAATTGCAAAATGCATATTCTCTTCAGGATATAGTGGAAAATCTTTGGTTTTTTTATTGATTTCAACACACCTCCAGTGACACTATTACAATGCTGTGAATTACTGTGTTATTTCCAGTATTCTTGTGAATCTTTGACGGGATTCAACTGATTGATGGTAATTACTATCTTCCCCCAGGAAGGTAGAGTGCAAGCATCTATTTTATACGTAGATTATGAATATTACAATAAAAACATATCACGTCAGTTTTTAAATATGCTATGTCATTCTGTGTTTTACTATTAATGCAAGTACATTGAAATTGCACCTGTAAGATAGGTAAAATCAATGCATAAACTCTATTTAAAAATAAAATATTTGTTCCGTTCATCTAGGTTGTTTTATGAGATATCAACAAAATTAGGCACTTTGTTTTTTATCAGATCGATAAAATTCAAGATATCATTTCAGATCAAAAGTGTGCAAATTAACCAGGTGACCTCTTAGTTTGTGGAATTTATACATCCAAACTTCAAAGGGGAAAAAAATGAAATTACAACACTTACATATTCTTTATACTTCAGCTGTCGTGTTTGTGATAAAGACAAACCATGGATTGCTCACTAGCCTTGTCACCTGTACAACGAACCTTAGGTTGTGGTTTTAGTGCAAACTCAAATCATTACATTCGCTCTACCGATGTTATGGAGAATACCAACAAACCAGTTTAATGTTTGCATGTTATTGCATGAATATGCATATTACTTTTCTAACTTTTTGCCTTGTATGGGGCATGCTCATAAATTTGTAGTAATATAACTGGACTGACAATTCGAAATATTTTGAACCTGGCATGATTGAAACTTTATATAATTTTCAAAATAAGCGTGATAGTTTGTTTTAAAATCGCCTACTTTCATCCTGGTTGTATGGAAAGCGTTTTTGGGTCCCCTAGTGTAATTGATTATTTTGTAATGGGGGGGGGGATAATACTTCGGGAGATAAAACTTTGGTATTGATAGTTAGCGAGCACATGGTGCGCAGTTGCCAAACGAACAAGCGCGATGTCTACCGTCGTCGCTACAGCTTTTCATGACAGTTCAACAACGGAACACTGCGTTTGTCATAAGCAATCTACTCGTCGTACACCATCTATTAGGGCTTTGGTTTCATTCGGGTCAGTCTGTCCGCGGCGCCCACGCTTGTAACCGAATCGTGCCTGTGGCCGTGCAGGTGTCAATGTACACAAATCATCGGCAAGGGGGGCGGCGGATGCTGACGTAACAGACACCCGATTCGCCCAGTGCATGCCGTCACCGAGGAAACGTACAGACGCCGCGGAACTACCGCTCTCATCGCCTGCAGTATAAAAAAGTAGTTTCGTCTATAATTTTCATGTATTTTCTTGTGCCTGACATGAATGAGCTGTGCTACTATGGTATGTTTAAAATTCATTTTCATTTTGAACTTGCAAAGCCCAATTGAAACTAATTCAGTTTTGTTCAGTTTCCGTGGTCCTTTGGACAAGCTGATCTGGCCCCTTGTTTGCTCCTGAACAGTAACTTGGCTCTCTCCACCCAAGGCGTCATATTGACTTGTCATACACGATTGTAATTGTATGTGTGAATAAATAAATATTGTTATAATTGATATGAAAACACCTCCTGTTAGTGTGTATAAGTTACCCAAATACTCTGTTTTGGAACAAAAACAAGTAGTCTTGAGCTACTTGTTGATGGTTAAATGTTAACCTTTGAGCTCAGCATATTCTGCACAGTTTAGGGCAAATTTCATCAGACAACATTGATTTGGGGACTCCTGTTGTTTTCATTTTCAGTTGTGTTGTCTGTTATTTGCAAATTTTTTATGATCTACAGTTGTGGCATTGCAATAAATTGTTTTATTGACAATCTAACAGGTGTTGCATATTAGAGTAAGAAGTTTTATTGTCTGAGAAATATATTAAGTGCTTGCATAGAATGTCCAAATTTGAACAAAAGCTTCGAAGCAAAATGTTCAGGTTTTAAAATAGACTGCTAGAAAAATCCCTAACTTTTAATTTGTGCATTGGTCCAATATTACCTTGTTTACTCTTGATTACTTCATTGTCAAATTTATGTAATAATTAAGGGGGCCTGAAAACTTCCGTTCTATTGTTTTAAATACTGTTCAGAAAGCGTCTTTTTATATGTCTAACACATTGATTGTCATATGTGATATGGCCTCTTTGGTAGAATGGATTAATTTTTAGTGAGACCAAATGGTCTCATAGCAAAAAATTTTTTTGTATGATTTGTCGGTGTGTGAAAATATTAGATTGTGCTTTTTGTATTCCATGATGTATAAACTGCCTTGTTGCCTTATTCATAGATCACTGCAGTTTTAAAGAATAACTTGCTTTTACTGTACTAGATAAGTTGATGTAATTACTACATTACTTTGCTTTTGAGAATGCACAAATTAATGTTAACACTTAAGAGATAGTATAGCTGTATAGGATGCTCTGATATGGCAAAACTGTGCCTTGCAGTGAATATGTTAATGAAAGTTTGATTTTTTTCTATTCGTTATATTGAATTTTTAACAAATTTATTTACTTTTAACAAATAAAATGATGTCTGAAAAAAGTTCAAACACATTTAGAAGGGGGGATTTTTAAATGACATTTTGACTTTTATGCTAAAAAGGAATGTGGGCTGCAAGGGTTAAATAAAGAACCACAGCGAGGAAAATGTTAGGGATTATCTGAATGTTTTGAAATCATCTCTTTTGCTGTCTGCTTTTACAAGACATTTTGTTGTTAACACGAGCAAGTTTTGCTTTGTAAAGATATCTCGATTAATAATAATAATAATAATAATAATAATAATAATAATAATAATAATAATAATAATAATAATAATGGCAAAAGGGCATGCAATAATCAATCATTTGCATACAAGTTATGTAACAGTTTTTTGGCTTCAATTCATTGACACAAAATTCCACCAGTTTTGTGTAAGTGCTCTTGGCTGTCTGGTGATGCCGTCAAAATCTGGGTTGCTGTCATTTTTGGCTATCTTGTCAGGGCCGTTCTTTAAGTTGGTGTGCAGATCTGCACTTGCAAGACTGGCGGTGGAAGAATACTACTACTAGTTTTATACATTTTTTTGGCAAGATATTTAAGGTATCTTGAACATGGATTTTCAGTTTGCTCATGTGTTCATTGTGGTTCTTGAAAGTATTGCCTTTCGCACAGTTCTTAATTGAAATAAGATTTTAAATAACTGATAGAATAGAAATTGTTATGCATTAATTTGTTTTCCTTTGTGTTTCAGGTGTAAGATTCAAGGTGGTGAAAGTTGCCAACGTATCTCTTCTTGCTCTGTATAAGGAGAAGAAAGAAAGACCAAGATCATAATATTATGTCTGTTTGATGATGTGTATTAAATAAATAATATTAAAACAAATGTGTTTTGTCACCTTATTCTTTTATACTTTATTGATCCTGCTTCACTGCAGATGTTTGGGCTCCAATACAGTTATCACCCTAGGAGGTATGAAGAAAAATTTGTTTTGGGGTGAAAATTAACTACACAAGGGTCAATTCTATTTCAATTATGTCTTGCTTTTCATGATGAGACTCTGGTATACAATCTTGCTCTAATGTCTGGCCTTTTGATATGCTCCTATTCACCATCTAGTAAAGAAGGGTATCTGGGGATTTGAATTTAGCTTGGGGTCTTTTAGGGTTGATCTTTTACTTGCGATAAATGTGCAACAGGGATAGCTAGCTTTACTTTCCCTATGAAGGAAAATGTACAATGGATTTTTTTGGAAGCATGAAGATGTAATGCTATGAATTTAAAAAGCCAATTCTTGAGTTAATGCCTTTCTCTCCTTGGGGAAACAGTTTATGAGAATATTAGTTTTTGATTTTTAATGTGTCCTGTAATTATGTAAATGTCAATTATTAATGTGTGATTCTCTTGTAGTTTGATAGAACAATGGCAAATTGCAATTAGACTAAAACTATTTTTCCCTACGTTTTGGTGTTATAATTAGTAGAGATCCGTTCATGTTTCTTGTTGAATATTGCATTTTGAAACTGTGGTTTTGACATTCGTAACTCGATTTTATAAAGACTATAATTTTTCCTTCATGTTTGCTTTCGGTTAGAGAAAATTACGTCATATTGCGATATTAGGTTAGGGGCTTCTCACGTGAATACAAGTATATATGTACGTTTCCGTAAGTTGGTAGCATGGTGTAGAACGGCATTACAGGTTTGCTGGTTGGTATGACAAAATCGAGTGCAATTCGCTGCGTCCCACAACAGGAAAAGAATATCCCAAAAAAGGCCTAAAGTTTTTGTTTATTACTTTATTTGGTAAAATTGATCTAAATATTTATGTAGGATTATGTAATTTCAAGAATATTGTATAGTATATATACTTTTAAAAAATAATTTACAATATAACATGTTTGTTATTTAACAACTAGTGTGCTACAAATGGCACAGACTTTCTCGTATAAGTTTGCTTACTAATTTATTTCGCTAGGTCAAGCTTTTCGGTCGTGTCCCATCCTTTGTCCAGCTTATCGCCTTTGAACTTTCTATTGCCGCTCAAAGTAAACTTTTTTGACATTTTCTCAATTTTTTATTTCTTAATAATAGAAGAATTCACAATTCAAAGATTCCAAGAACACACGAAAACTTCATCTCTATTGTTTGGATTCCAGCACATAAAGGTATAGAAGGGAATGAAAGGCAGATAAAGCGGCAATAGAAGCAACTTAATTACCAATAATGGACAGGAGTGTGAAGAGAGTTCTCTCCGATATTTAACTATGTATAAAAAAAAGTATGGTTAAGAAACAGTGGAATGAAAAATGGCTGACTACCTTCTCCAAACTTCACCTCGTAAGGAAATCCGTTATTGAACCCGCCCTCCCGAAACTCCAACTCACTAGATTCCAACAAGTCCAAATTACCAGACTACGTATTGGCCACTTTAATCTCTCACACATTCACCTAATAACAAAAGCTGATCCATTTCCCTGTCCTTAATGTGGATCCCTAGTATCTACATCCCATATTATTCTGGAGTGCCCTGAACTAGCCCGTATAAGACAGTCCTTGAATTTAAAAATCTCTCTATATAATTCCTTCTCCTACCCAGAATGTATAAAAGTCTTATAACTTACAAAAACAATAACAATTGATACCTTAATATAAAGATCTTCCTTTTCCTATATCTCATGTATAATAATACTTCAAAAATGTTGTTACTATCAAAACGTGTCTAATATAAATAAATAAGTGTAGCCATCTCAATTATGTAAGTACCCACAATATTAATACATTTTGACCATTTATATGCTTGTATGTAATTGTATAATGGTATAACTGTAAAAAATGTATACTTATGTCAATTATAAATGGATTATCGTGGTCGCTTATGTCCCAGTTGTTGAAAAGTGACCTTAAATAAATAAAATAAAAAAAGGCGGTTATTTGTCACAACTAAAAATTGGCAGAAGAGCATAACACATTTTATGAAAGGGAACGAATCACAGTAGAAAACATATGGAAAAAACTATTTCGGCTGCAGCAAAGTTTTTACAAAGAGGTACCAGTATCTCTTTTTTCAGCCATTATAATGAGTAAGGCAAATATACCGCTTATATTTTATAACTCGTACAGTGTGGTACTCCTTAAAACAAAACTTATACAATGTGTGTAGTTTGTGTGTTCATTTTTATATAAATATTTTGCTATACATTTTTATAGATTACAAAACTTGGTGTCTTTACTTTAAAATATAAATTTGATCAAACGCGATTAATATTTTTATATTTCTTTAATTTTTATACTCACATAATATATTTTAAACACGAAATTTTTTTAAATGTTTTTTTTTTTCAGGGCATAAGACCACCAGGCAACACTGGGCCTGATTATTAGTGTGGTAATTTTATTTAGCCTACAGTTCTTTTATTCAGCCTATGATCTATCAGAGGACGCAGTCTGGTAGAATGGTCTATAAGTAGGTGTACGTGGCGCATGATGAGGGACCCACAATGAGATACGTACTTCGTGAACGTAAGGATAATCAATAATTGTCCACAAAACATTAATAAATACTTAACATGATTATAGAAAAATTCCTCCTCCTGCCAAGACAAGCGAAATTGAACTTTCTTCTCAGATAGTCACTGTCAATGCCTAACGGTGGGCACGTTCTTGATATTAATTTGAATATACTGATATTACTTTGAATTGTAGATAATAACATTATTTCCACCATGGATATTTGAGGAATCTACGTTGACGCCTTTCAAAGCGCATCTACAGACCCTTGCTAATGAACAAAATTTTTGGATTAGTTTGGGGAAACATGTTTTTATCGAAATTTGGACCTTATGCATTTTCGGAAAATTCAAAGGTTTTAATGAAAATCGAATTTTAACCTGTGTAGGAGGAAGAGCTTCAAGCTGAGCACAGAATATCCATATCTGACAGCTTTTTCATTGGTTGAAAGTTTTGAATATTTACGTATGTGTCAATACTACCTTATAACATTTTATTTCTTAATTATTAAAATATAACATATTTTGCGACCTTTTTGATTTAATTAGAATGTTTAAAAATGTGTATCAAAGTTTTTAAAAAGTGTTCACAATTCCAGGGCTTATTGGATCGTGTGTTGCACTTCCTGTTTAGCAGGCACTAGACATCAGTGATTTCCATGGTTCCATTTTGCTGTTAGGACGTGTAGGAGACAGAAATGGTGAGTGTCTTGTGGCCAGTATTATCCTCGATTTAAGGAGCGATCGGTTATTAAGTTATAATGGTTTGTTGCAATCTGATACTTGTGTAAATTTTAGTACATGCTTTTATCGCGTAGTTGCTTTTATTTACTAGAATTTTATTGACGTGGAAATATTTTAACGCAGCGTGGTGATTTTATGATTGATGTTTTTCTTCAAAACTATCAAATGTGTTCTAATAATATTTATTGTGGCTTTTAGACGAAGGGTACGTCAAGTTTTGGTAAACGGCGCAATAAGACACACACGTTGTGTCGCCGCTGTGGAAGATCTTCGTATCACATCCAGAAGTCGAAGTGTGCGCAATGCGGATATCCTAGTCCCAAGCTAAGGCATTGTAAGTTTCAAAAACTTGGGTGAATTTTGGTTGGTATTTGACAAGAAATTAAACGATTTCGTTTGTGTTATAGATAATTGGAGCGTGAAGGCCCAACGAAGGAAGACAACTGGTACTGGCAGATTGCGCACTCTGAAGATCGTGCGACGCCGATTTAGGTAAGGAATATCAAGTTTGTTTCAGAACAAATAACCAGAAATTTCACAAATCTTTAATTACACCAGTATGCGTGTTCCGCCCTTAGTCAAACACTTTATGGTTCATTGTTATAACTCAATGGTTTGTAAACAAATGGAGAATTTAAATTATTCTAAATATTTGAGAGGAGTACTGGATTGTTGCCCTTTAAAAGCAAGGTTTCATACGAATTTTAATATATTGTATGAGTTTTCACTTTAAGAAGTTGACAACTCAATTAGAAGTGGTTACTTTGGCTCCTGCACTTTGTGTAATTGAATATGTCTGCATTGGTTGCATTGAAATGGTCATAGTTGGTGGTTGTGTATGATAAAAAATTTTAAGTTCATGCCATTTTCATTTGTATTTAAAGAGAAAATGCTGACGATAGCATATATTTCTACAGCAAAGCTTCTATGCAGGAAGCCAATAATAGTTGTTGCCTTTATTAGCAAGGTTTGATTAATTACTCTTCGTATTGTATTGAAAGCTTTTTTGACGTATCTTCAGGATCATAAAAAAAAATTTGTCCACGAGAGTCTATGCTAATTGATTTATTTTGTTAAAAATTAGGCTGGTAATCTTATTTTTGAGTAGAGCATTTCTTTTGAATTTTGCTGGGTCAGTTCAAACAATTATATTACCTTAAGGCCAGTATTATAGCTTTGTTAGATTTAAAACTGCATTCTATGTCATTCAATGTTAATTTGTAGAATAATGCATTTTTGGATGCAACTTTTTGAAGAATGTAACTTTGTTGAATTGTAGCTGAACTTCAAATTCTTGAGTCGAAATGCGTGTTAGGCCTTTCAAAAGGAGTCATTTAGCACATTGGACTGCCACCACTGTTCTACTGCAGTTTCTGGCCATTTTCTTGGAGAGTTGCAATGAACAATCTTGTCTGAGAAAATCAAAAATCTTCAGAATTTATTGATCAAAGTAAAAATGAGTTGAGAGATTCCAAAAGCTCTAGCCACTAAGGAGAGCTATTCTTGAAAATAATTGATGCTTTGCAAGTGAGTGTGTCAAGACAAAAATTGCTATCTCCAGTGCTACTGTGGCATGATGGGGTGGTGTTTTGTGAGGTGTTAATAATAGGGTTAATATTTGTTCTGCTTTATTGCCTTCAATTATAATTTTTAAGTGCTGTTATAATTAATATCACATTTAATTGGTGTGAAGTTGATAGTAGTAGTACTGATGCTATGCGAATTCTATGAATTAAATAAGGGTAGAAGATTTTATTTCTATTCTAAGTTTTTCTTTCCATTCGTTATAAATCAGCATTTCTTTGTGTTAATACTGTTATGTTTTTAGTATCTTAAGGTTTATAAGGTAATTAAACTTTTGAATATGGTCATGAATCTGCTAACCTTTTCTTCTCTGGTCAGGATTTAAACACGTGCATATAAATCTGCAAAGGTCAGGGAGATTTTTCTCTTGGTTTCCCTGCCTTTTCTTTGATCATTTAGTAATTCTTCCTTCAGTACTTTGTTCAGTAGTCCATGGAGTACTACAGTCAAATGGCTTGTATACACAAATTGGTACTTTAGTTTTGAACTATGGGATATATTGAAGTAAGACATTTGAAAGAATAGTGCAAGAATTGAGCAGTTTTTAATGATGTGCTGTTCACGCTTGAAAGTTGATTTTAGTTGGGTTTTGTTTATTTTAAGTGATGTGAAATGCTGTACTTGAGATTTTCCAAAAGTGGATTATTTCTTATAAGCAAGTCTTTTCACATCCAATTATTATAATCTACACATAGCCTCCTATAACCTACATGTAGCAAAGGTTTGCCATATTATAAAAATGTTTTTTCATAAATTTGTTTTTGTAAGCGGTCAATTTGCCTGCAAGTAAGTTTTGGTGTACCATTATTTCAGTTTTTTGGTGTTTACAGACAAAATTAAAAGCGGAAAGTAAATGTTGCTTGAAAAATTGGGTGACCTCCACTATCTTGGCAATTTTTTTCGTGTAGATAATAAATTTTAATAAAGACTTAATTTCACCAAAGGATATAATTTACATGTGAATATTAACTTCATTTCACGGATTGTTTGTGTTTTAGTGCAGTGCTCATAAATCTTTTAGTATTGTATTTAATTAAATTAAGTTTTGGAATTGTGTTAGATTCCTGGGAAATTTTGGCTATTATACAAGTAGATATTATTCCTTAAACTAAATGGTTTAAAAAACTACTTTTTAATTTATTTGTTTAGAACTTTTACCTTAGGGTGAGATCAGATGAGAAATTAGAATCAGACTTGCTTCATTTTTTAATTTTTTTATTATGACATACTCGACAAATCTTATCTGTAAACAAATAAAAGCCACTAGAAAATGGGGGAAAAATTAGGGAAATTCATTCCAGAAAATGTGATCACCCTGTCTGAGGAGAAATGCCTACAAATATTTCATTGTAATGATTATTTTGTGTAGAAAATAAATTCAATAGAGCTGATTAGTTCTTTAGCAGAGCAAAACCAATAAATTTCAACCCTTTTGTGCAGTTCAGTTGTGTATTGTATAATTTGATTTAAGATTTGATTACATTAATTTCTATAGCATTGACTAATTTGCTTTTTTTTTCTTTAATGTAGGAATGGATTCCGTGAAGGTGGCAAGCCTGCTCCCCGTAAATCTGCTGCATAAATGTATCAAATTGTAACCATTGCTAAATAAAAAAAACGTTGATTAAATAGCGTTTTCATTTCAAGTTTATCACCTGTTTGAATCAGTTAATTTTCCCTAGGGTGGACATGTAATTTAGACTTCTTTCCAAAAACATTTTAGTTTACATATATTCCTTGCTGTTTTTTTGCTTTTAGGTGAATATTGTTCCTGAAATATTGTGTATTTTTTGTATACAAAGGTTTCAAATTGTAAATTCAGGATGAATACAAATGCAATCTCACATTTGTAGTTTTATTGCCAAGGAATTGGTTTCTTTCATCATGAAAAGTGACACTAAAATATTAGATATAAATTGACAAAAGTGGAATTGAAGTTGATTACTTAGTAACATAAGTAAGCCCCTCTTGAGGGGCTTTTGTTTCTTGAATGTGCCTGTGAACGGGTATCTGCAAGGTGTCTTGTAAAAGAATCAATTTTCATAATTTGGCTCTGAAAAATTTCCACTACCTCCTTGAGCAATCTAAAATCGCAATTCGATGTGCTGGGGATAAAAGAATGTTGTGGCATTAGGAAATAGCAATAGATCTATTGTACTAGTTTCAATTATTTAAGGGTGTCAAATAACTGACCTTTTAAAACTGGTTTTCATTGAATCATCTTGCTTCCTGCTGATTAGTTCCATTTTCCATATGGGAACATATTTGGATTTAACAATTTTTATTTTTAGTGTTAAAACATATATTCACATTTGTGAACGACTCGAGGGTATTCTAATCAGCTCACCTGCTAGCTTAAGTGAGAAATATGTAGCTCTGAAATACGTTAACTCGATCGCTTCGTAACAGCAGAAATATCGGTTTATCTTCTGGTCATTGAAAACGATTCTGATAGGGATGTAGGCCCAAAGGGGTTAATGCAATTCCGCGTTTGTGCTCACTGGGTACTCTTAATAGCTGCTGTATACTCAAAATTATCTGCAAATTTTGACGAACAAGATTATGCATTGCTATTACCTCTGATTAGCGACACCTTTCAGAATTCTGGGACCCTGAAAGTGAAAATGGGTTACCTTTATACTACAATACTCGGTATTCATGAATATCCATAAAACTGATTGTACTCTCGAAGGAACAGAGTTTTTGCAGTTTCATTATAAGCTTTGGGAGGTTTCCGTCACTGGAGCATCAGATGACTATCGTCTTTGCGTTCTCGGAGTACAGAAGTTCGTCGTTAGAGTGCAGGCACGTCGACAGGTGTTCCACTGAGTGGGCTCACCTCAGGCTGTACGTGACGCTGTCAGTGTGAGACTTACTTCACAGGTGTTTGGAAGTGCTCGTGGCCGACGTGGATGTGAACTTTGGAATGACATTCCTAAAGATACGGGGTGATTGTAGATAACAGATAAATAGAATGATTTGATATAACGCTTGAGTGCGATAAAACAAATTTTTATCAGTAGTTGTATCCTCATCTTACGATTCGTACGTGAATTGCTGTGTAGTGTTTCCAACTCAACTGCAAGACCGTAAATATGCCGATATTCAAACAAAAAGGCAAAAAGGACTCCGTGAAAGGAGATCCTCAAGAACAATTGCCTCAAGTTACGAAGTCTCCAGAGAAACCATCTAGTGTCCCTACTTCTCCACCCAAACTAGTTTTTCATGTCCAACAAGCTCAAGGAAGTCCTACTGGCCTTATTAGTGGATTTACCAATGTGAGGGAACTGTACCATAAGATTGCTGAATGCTATGACTTTCCTTCAGATGAAGTAAGTACATGATTTTTTTGTATTAAATGTCATGAATTTTGTTGGACGTAATGTGTGCGCTGGTCATTGAGATAAGAAACCATAAAAATGTTACTTGTCGAGCTCTTTAATAAAAACTGCTCTTTTGGTGGTGGTGTATTGTAGTTGCACATGTATTCTTTTGAAATGTACATTGGGTTTAGCAATTCGCTTTAATGTTTTGAGAAACAATCCTACACTATCGGCAAATCACTACTGGGTTGATTCAGTAGGGATAGCGAAAATTGGAATTACAGATTTTTTTGAAAGTAATTGTTAAATCATTGACGGATGTTGTTACTAAAACAGCGAAATTGCGTGGGCCAAAACTGAAAATGATGTGCTGAGCGACTATACTTAATATTGCCACGTGATTCCTTGTCATAAAATAACTACAGTTTTCAAGTATGGTGTGAAATGATCGTTTGATAAATGTATTTTATTTGCCTTCATCTGTGGTATTTCCTTTGCAATTGAAGGAAACGTGTAGATTACAATGTTGGAATGTATTTAACTCCGCAGAAAGTTTAACTTTCGATCTTCGCATTTTTGTTTCAATCCCGTCTCTTGCTGTTTTTCCCACTATCTTGACCCGTCACTTAAATAGCGCGCCGTAGAAGTTCGTCACTTTGTGAGGATCATCTTATTTCGCGTGCTCAATAGTGAAATCTAATTTTGTTGTCATTGCAGGGTTTGAGCAAGTTGTGACTTTCAATGTATCATGAGCAATGTGTAATAATAAGCAATAGTTGCTTCTCACAAAGTTCAGGCATTGTTTTTTTCGCTTTTTCGTGTGAATATTTCTAAGTATTCTCGAAGTAACTCTAATCGTGATACAGGAACTGAAGGAAAACGTTGATTTTGTGATAAGTTACCTTAACTTCTGTAGAATCGCCACATTTAAAATACCGAATAATGTTTTCTAAAATATTTTCCATTGCATTATTTACGGGTGCTGTCATATTGAATCCGCGGCTTATCATAGTGAGGAACATCATTCTCGATGAAAGGTAATTTTGGTTTACTTGACTTTTTTAACGTTCTGGAGCTAAAGAAAAGTGCGCAAGTGGTATTTCTCCCATACGTCACATAGTCTTTTAATTTCTTTGATTAATTATATAAAAAGTTAAAAAAAAGAGTACACTGCCTCATGAACACGGGTGCGAATGACAAAGGTGAAACACCCACTTGAGGCAGAGGGGGGACAAGCTCGCGACCTTTCCCGTCGGGTCGGTGAGGCAGTACGCGCTGTGAACGATTAGTCAATTGATTGGGTCGGCTGGTAGTGGTACTTCTCCCATTTTAAGTTTCGAAGAATTGTTCAACATGTTTTATTAAAGTCATTGCGTTGGTTTACGAATAATACATTTTCTGACATTCAATTTCGTAATGACTCAATTGAGATTAAAATGGTTCATTTTAATATAAACAGACGGAGAGTAAACGAGAGTTCATGAATTTAATACACTCACAATTTTCATATTAGTTTTGAATCATCATTGTAGAGAAATTATAACGGGTGGTTTTGGGAGTAGTCTTTATTACAGACTGCTGCCCAATATACGTCTTAAATCATAGATTCCCTGCAATATGTATACCGACAAACGTTTGTATGGTTCAGGCTTGTGGAAACTTCATCGGCTTCAGGCAAATCCCCGCTGATACCTGCTTAATGAATGTAGCACGTAGCAAAATGTATCCAGTTTGTGGAGGAATTTTGGCACCAATTTCACAAGGCTGTTTGTTTAAAATAGTTGTAATGATCCATACGAAGATTGGTTCCTTTCCCAGCGATATGTACGGTGACCAATTGTCCTAAGCATCACCTCACTCTTGTAATACAATAGGATACTTTAAGGCGAGGCGAGGTAAAATGAAAGGGCTCAGGAAATTTTAACAATGTGGTTCAATTCGATCTCGTGCAACTTTATGAAGATGGTGAAACCGTAGAAATCTCTAGTCTCGTTACGACAATATTTTAATCTCGTTCATGATTTCTTGTTGGAGTTACATGTTACTCCTGAATACTGTTAAGTTGTCTCGTTCGTGCTCAGCACATGAATTCGGTGAATAAAATTGCAAGAAATAAACAAGTCTATAACGAGGTCGATAAAGCGTTCTTTACTTCAACGAACAGCTTCACTGTCAATTAGTACACAAACACTTCAACATAAGAGGGCATTCAACAGGTGAGAGGACTGTCGCCCCCCGTAAGTTGTTTGCGCCGTGTTGATTGCCACATGGCAGCATGACGCCGCCTGAAAAACTTGAACTGTTAGTGGCTGCTGGGACACCACTGGTGTTGTCATTTTATTCAAGTGCGAAACACAAAGAAATTTGGCACGAAGTGACCTCTTATCACTTTCCTGTGACATTCTCTGGTGTTTTCCTGACCCCAGTTTTGTGCAACATCAAAGAACTCTCGCTGATTTTCGTTAATGTCTGCGAGTTCAATGCAGGTAGTGCTGGAGGGTGAGTAACTTGCATTAATTACTTAACGTATATCCAGTGCTTAATTTATAAAGCTTTAGATCCCGCAACGCGCCCTAAATTATTATCGCGTTCCACCAGAATTCAAGCTCTGCTTAGAACTATAGCCCGTACTCGTGTAAAAATCGAGGACCGTTCTCGAGGAATTATACTCCATTTTTATGTGTAGTTTTTGGACACTTGTAAAGTCAAAAGATTATCTTACTAACTTGGACAATCAAAAGATTATTTGGTTAACGTTATCTTCTGAGCTTGTCGATTATACGTGCAGTTCATTTTCGATAAACTATTAAGGACAGAATATTTGAATCATCGACTCCCAAGAATCTAGGAAAATATTCAAAACTCCAGCTTTAGATTGTTTTTTCCTCCCATTTGAATCTTTCAAATAATCTGTTGTGCTTTTACAAAAGAAAATTTGCGGAGACGTTGGTATTAATGCAATGTAATTAAATGTTTTATACCTTAAACTTTTTTCTTTTTCAAACCAAAGGAATGCATCACGAGATATATTTAATGTAATAATCAATAATTTGCTTTAAAATTGTCACATTGTGTTACGTTTCCTTTTTACATAGTTATTTATCTCTAGTGTTATGAAGAGTTATTTATAGTTACTATTATTTATCATGCATAGTAAACGATTCGAGATTTAAAGCCCCTGAGGATTCAGGTTAGTACTCTAATACGCAAAAACTTCAGTCCTCCTCCCGTCTTTGATAGTACTAAGCCACTACGATAAAGCACATCACACCCTATTACGCGCAACTGAAATGTTTGCAGCTAGGGATGCGACATCGCCAACAAAACATTGATGTTCAAAATTGAAACATTGCCTCAAAACCATCGATATTTTTAAAACTGAATTGGTAATTATTAATGTCATCGTGGGGGTAATTTAGTTTGAATGTTTACTAATGTATGTTTATGATTTAATTGGCAAAACACACGGAAAAAAATATCATGACATTTAACAAAACTTTTATCATGTGGTTGGCTTCTTCAAAATTTGTATAGACTTGTTTTATGAAAATAAAAACTCTGAAATGAAAACTGATTTTAATTATTCCCACTCTTGATCACATTAATCTGAAGACTGTTGACTGAATGATGGTACTTTTTTCATTAAAGTAAATTATCAACCACGTAAAAACATCGACTTCTAAAATTGATAATTAAAACATCGATGATTTTATAACAAAAATCGATATTTTATTGTGTAATGAGAAAAAGAACCATCATGATAATGATAGAACTTTAATGATTTTCTGATATTCATGAATGAAACATTCCTCAAACAAATGTGATCAAGAATGAGAATAATCAAAATCGAGTTTTCATTTTGATAAATGAATTGTATACAAATTTTGAATAAGCCAAACAGCTGATAACGATTTTGTTAAATGTCCTGGTCATTTTTTCATAGTTTCCCTACTCTCGGCTGCTGTCCGTCGCATGTCGCCGAGCAACGCGTGCCGGCGGGTCGCGTCCTCCCGTACGAGCCGCCCAACGGCACGACGCACTTTCTCAATCTCAGGGCCCGCGCGATTTCTCAGCGGAACCGACGTTCGTCTCGCCTCTTTCTGGTCCACGCGCCTGCCGTCGGACGCTGCCACGCCTGGGCGGCGACCGAATAGGGATACGCAGGGGGAGAAGAGGAGGAAGGAGAAGAGGAGGAAGGAGAAGAGGAGGAAGGAGAAGAGGAGGAAGGAGGCGACGAGCGGTCGTGGCCAATGGCGGACTTCCGCCTGGGCAACCTAGTAGACAGCTGCCTTAGGGCCCAGCCTCAGCGGGGCCCTCAAGACATTTTCAAACAATTTTTCAAGTTCGTAAATACGAAAGGCAATTTTAACGTACCTAGTAGTTGCACAGCTTTTTAAATATATTTATTTAATTCAGATTTTAAAATATTTCTATCAATGGAATGTTACCTATAAATCAATTAACATTATGATACAGAATTACGTGCCAAATAATATAATTTCTTACGCCAGACGTTTAACGGCCTGTCAGCGCGGTTAGCGAAGGAACTGCCAATGTGCTCGTATATCGAAAAACAAATTATATCTCGGGTGCGGCGTTATCTCCCAAGACGTGCAAATGTCCTTCTTCACGTGTCGTTTCTTTTTCCTTTTGTTCGATTAGTAAAAAGAAAGGGCTCCAGCGTTTTGAATGTCTAACAGCCCCAGGTGTTGAAGTCTGACCCTGGCCGTGGCTAGGTCCGCGATTGTTGAATTCGGAAAGGATTCGAAATTTAAAACACGATTCCCCAGGTTTTTTTTTTTTTTGGTCATTCGAATCCTAGGAATCCTTTCGAATCCCTTATTGATGAACTCAGTTTTTCTGAACTTCTCTTAGCTTGAAGATCTTTTGCACTTCTATTTCTTTAATATGCTTGCTAGCGATATCATTGTACACATTATATAACTTACTTTATTTGTGCATTTCAGAAGGTAAAAGATTAATAATACAATTAACTGCGGTGAAGCTTATTCCGAAAATCTGTTTATTTCCACCAAATAACTGGGGAAGGCAAGTGGGGACGAAATCTGTTGATATGTGAATATTTAGGGGATACGGGGGCGATTTGTGACATTGTGTTTACTGACCGATCCGATAGAGCACAGCTCCTGAGTTTACATGCACGTTTCAAACCTTTCAACCTCAGCGACAATAAATTTTAGGTATGTTCAACTACTGATGTCATTGAAAAATTTACTTTTTAAGATAAAATTTGATTGTTTCTTGGTTTATATGAATGATCAAATAACCTTAAATAAAAACGGATATTCATATTAGTGTGTATCTTGTGACTGCTTCTAAGGGGCACGTTGTGAGTGTGTCACTACTGGCCCCGATACTGTTTGTCTAATAATTTTACTTTCAGGAAATATAGTGGGGAATTCGAAGAGGCAAACTGATTTAAAAGAGTGAAAGTATTGTTAGAAAACAAAAGAGCCAAATTTGAAGTAAAATATAGAAGATATATTTTTAGGGTAGTTGTTGCACTGGCGGGTCCCGGGGGGGGGGCAACCCCTTCAAAGGCCAAGAGTTTTCGGTTACCTTGCATTATTTAGCAAAATTGAATTAAATATTTATGTTCGAATGATGTAATTATTTAAACGATATTTTATAGTACATCTCTAGTACATAAATAATATACAATATAATAACATATGTTTATTATTTAACAAAAGTCTATGATCTCCAAAATGATC